ATATATATATATATATTTGTGTAGTGCAGCAATAGAAACAAATATATTTTAAGAAGCAATAAAGTGCTTAATTTTGGAAACTGAAAGGTCTGAAGGATATTGCCAAAAATGGCACCAAATTTTATCCATCTATAAGAAAGGGGTACATATTTCACACCCAAACTCTAATTTGATAAGAAAGGGGTAGGCATGTAATTTGCTCGATATTCTTGTCTGTTTGATAAGAGTTCTTCGACTACTATAAAAATAGCTCGAGATTTCAGTCGAATGGCCAGCTATTTCCACTCGCACCAAAGGTCCAAAACTGAGAAACTGAGAAAGGAAGAGGAGGAAGAGATCGAGAAACAGTGAGGGAGAGAGAAAGAGCAACCACTTGAGCCCGATGGCCGCTGTTATGAAATCAATGGAAGAAGATGAGTCTCTGTTCTCATCAATCATCTCATCGGGCTTCTACCCCCAAATGGCGCGAGGTTTTTATCCATCTCATTAAACTATGTTGATCGAATCTAGCTATATCTCCATTTTGCTTCAGCTAAATGATTGTAGATTGACCTCATGCTTTGGATTTGGGATCCAGGGGAATCAAAGGAGCGGCGGACAAGGAAGAAGGCGAAAGACGTCCCCAATGGCGATGCGGAGGTTTACGGTCAGGGAAAGAAGCGGCGTCTCAGCGAAGAGCAGGTCAGATTCCTGGAGATGAATTTTGATAAAGAGCGCAAGCTGGAATCCTGCCGAAAAGTCAATCTCGCCACCGAGATCGGCCTCGATCCAAAGCAGGTCGCCATCTGGTTCCAGAACCGTCGAGCTCGATGGAAGAGCAAGCAAATTGAGGAGGAGTACACCCATCTCAGATCCTCCCACAATGCCATCCTAGCCGAGAAACTTCAACTCGAAAATGAGGTCAGTTTACCCCAATTCAAACCCTAACTCTACCCCCTTCAAATCCACTCTCCCTTACCAAATCAAAACTGAAATTACGGCAGTTATCGAATCTTAAAGACAAGTTGGTGCAATCGGAGCAGGAGATCAGGAGACTTACCTCGCCCTCCATCTCCGCCGCCGCTGGCGGAGGAAGTCCGATCTCGTTGACGATGCCGACGCATTTGGGGAAATTTGCGATGGAGAAGGAGAATGCAATGCAGATGTCTGCATTGGCAGACAACTATTATGACGTGATGGAGATGAGCTATTTCTATGGGTTTTGATTAATTAATCAATAATCATGATAATTAAGATGTAAATAAGTGTGAGATTTATGTAAATACGTTGCTTGTCAAGTTTAGATCATTTAGTTCTCTACTTCTTGTTAATAATTACCGCAATAATGGGTGGATTAGTGTTAATTAACTTTTTTATAACTATTATTTTAAGTTCTTATATTAATTTACTGGAATTTTAGCTCGTTTAGTGTCAGTTTACCATTTACTTGCGTTGTAGTTGTGTTGAAAAAAAGAAGCTCGGTACTGTCCTTGAAAAAATAGCACATATAGCTCTTCATCATGACTCCAATAAAATATTGTTGTGTCTAACTGGGGCACATATAGCTCTTCATCATGACTCCAATAAAATATTGTTGTGTCTAACTGGGAGCACGTAAAAAATGACGAAAAGACACCAATAACACTCGATGTTATTGGCGTGGTCCTTCAAACGATGTTATTAGTATTATTCACTGGTATTACTGCGGTGTTATTGTGATGTCATTAGAGTTGTTTTGTTGGGTTATTGAAGCGAAACTACAGTGTTATTTGCACGGTCCTCTAGGTGATGTTATTAGCGTTGTTCACCGTTGGTATTGTTGTACTATTGTGGTGTTATTAGAGTTGTTTTATAATAACACCACAATAAGAGTTTTTTCATCATTTTTAAGTGATCTCAGTCAGATACACGTGACATGAT